AGGAATGCAGAGGTAACGTTTGGCCAGAAGGCTCACTCTGGGGTATGTTGGTGAATTAATCTTCCACCATGCCAGGGGGGTTGGTCTCGCTGTCTGCAATAGGACCTGGGGGGTAGATGTTTCTTTCAGCCTCAAAAGCCTGCTGTTCTGTCAGATCAGATGTTGCAACAGGCTCAGTGTAGGACTTCTTAAAATAGTGTCTTCTTATGCAATTTGGCTGGTGTGGCAGCACATTCACTTTTGCCTCCTCCCATTGCAGTGGATGGTAAGGCACGAGTAGCTTGCAATGTGCTCTGGCGTGCTTCATCCAGCATCTGAGCCATAGCTCTGGATTTCACAGCCTCAACCTTGTCATCTTGGATGTAGCGCGTATTGAAACGAGGATCATCAAGGATGCTGTGTTCAGAAGGTCATCAGTGGCTGCATTGTCATATTTCTCATTCAGATAGCTGATGACAGAAGCCTTGATGGTCTTGGTGAGCTCTGTGTCATCATCTACATCTACTTTTTTGCACACACCCATGGCTCTTTGGATTCTCTGGTCTCTCATACTCCCCTCTGATGATGAAGAAAACAGTACATAAGCACATGTTTAGAAACTTTACAAGGCATAAAAGATGATAAAGTATTTTGTGATATATATTACAATGATATAACATTTTTTAAATTATGGATAATAAAACGTGACAGCCTTAAATACTGTAAAATCAATTTGGATATGTTATAAATCCTCATATGCTATTTTAACACTGAAAACTTGACTTTTTTTTTAAAAAAGTTAGATGCTTATTAACTTACCAATGGCTAGATGCAGCCGGTGACCGAAACACTGCAGGCGAGTCCAGTGTTTAAGTGAGACAGCCTTGACGATGTTTGCACCATTGTCTGTTGTGATACACACCTGGCGGTCCTCGCTAAGACCCCAAGATGTGAGTGTATCCTCCAGACCTGCAGCAAGTATTTCTGCAGTATGGTCATCCGGAAAATATGCAGTTTGCAAGCATCTTGATTGAAGAACCCACTCCTCGTCGATGTAGTGCATAGTGAGGCTCATATATGGCTCAGATGTGCAGCTGGACCACAGGTCAGTGGTAGTAGCAAAGTATCTCACGTTCTTTAGCTCATTTTCCAGCTTTCCACGGCACTCTTCGTAAAGCTGAGGCAGTGCGGTTTTGGAGAAGTATTTTCTGCCCGGAAGTTCATACCTGGAGTCAAGCACTTTAATTAATTTCCTGAAACCGTCATGCTCCACTGTTTTTAGGGGCATCATGTCTTTCGCCAGAAAGAATGAAACGGCTCTCGTTATATCCTTGCTCCTTCATAAGGAGTAATGGCCACAAAGGACGGGGTCGGCGCCGGTTGACAGGTATATCCAGGGGATCCAAACTCGAGGTCAATGGGAACAAAAGCAGAAGGTCGGTACACAGCAGGCGATCTGAATCTGAGAGGGCATAGACAAAACACGGTGGTCAAGAAACGGTAATCCTAGGTCAAACACAGAGAGTCAGGCAAGGGATAAATGCTGGAGAGTCAGAGCTGGGGTCTAGAACAATCTGGCAGCGTCCTGGTGGGAGGACGCTGCCTAAATAGAAGGGAAAAACAGGTGCAAGCAATAAGGAGCAGGTGAACTAATGATGATTAAATAAAAGGGCCAAAAGTGAGGTGAAACAAAACAGGAAGTGATGAGAAAATAAAAGCCTGACAGGAAGCAAGAGGGGCAAGAGCGTGACAGAAACCAGGGAGGGGTCGAGATTAGATTTTTTGAGGAGCGGTCTTACTACCGCATGCTTAAGGGCAGCGGGGATCTCCCCCTTCAGCAGGCAACAATTTATAAGAGACAGCAAGAAAGGCCCAACAGTATCAATAGCCTCCTTAATAACCCTTGTAGGGAGGGGGTCCAGAGGGGATGAGGTAGTGTTTAAGTCCAACACACATTTCTTTAGCTGGGGTAAAGAAATTGGAGTAAAGGAATCGAATGTCTGGGATACTTGAGCTACCAAGGGTATATCGGGTGAGGACATGGGAATATTTTGTCTAATAGACCTGACTTTGTAAATGAAGTATTTCAGAAAATCATTGCATAAGGACACCGAGCCCTCAAGGTGGGGGGCGCCTGCCGGATTAATAACTGAATCAATGGTTTTAAAGAGAGTTCTTGGATGCTGCCTGCTTTCCGCGAATGATGTTGGAGAGGTATTGAGATTTCGCGTCTCTTACAGCCTCCTGGTATAGCCGTAGGCTGTCCCTCAGAATGCCCAGAGAGACGTGTAGGCCGTCCTTTTTCCATTTCCGTTCCGCCCGCCTACATTGTCTCCGCAGGGTACGCGTGGTTTCGTTCAGCCAGGGAACCGAGATGGATCTTGCTCTCTTCCTTCTGACAGGGGCGACAGCATCCATTATCTGGACGCAAGTGGCATTCAGGGAAGGGGGGAGAGCGTGAGGGGATGAAGAAACGTCATGGTCTCGTGACCGATAAAACTCTGAGGCTACAAATGCCTCTGTAAAGCCCACCACCGTAGCGGATGTTATAATACTACGGCCTAAAACTATATTAGGCATTACTGACTACCCGCAGATAGGTAGCAGAAGCAGTGGAATCAGTGATTAATGGTACATATTTATAGTTTACACAGTTTAAATTTCACAGAATCGAAAATATCTTCGCTGGACAAACTTAACATCAGTTGAGACACTACATTTAAATTTCAGGGGTTAGGTGTATAACTAACTTATGACTGTTGCTTAGACATGTCATTTTATCAACCAATTTTTATTGCTGTAGGTGAAAATGCCTCCCAAAGCAAATTAAGACATCAGGTGATTTTTTTTTAAAAAGAGCCTACTGCACATGTAAGCAGCAGCAAAGCTGAGCTAATACAAAGCTTCTGTAATCCAAACAGTTCCCTCCTTAAAAGAGCCAGATCTTTGGCTGTCAAAACATAAAAGAAGTGGTACAAAATTAGGCGCTGGCTCTGAACCTACCCTGCAACTTAGTCAAAAAGGGACACAGACAGGTAAGCACTGGTGTCATGGTGGTGCAATAAGGAGCTGAATAAAATACAAGAAGTCTTTGACATAATTTGAAAGATATGTGCTTTGAAACTTGAGTTGCATTGCCCATATCAGCAAACTGAAAGGACAGAACTAAAAATCCAATGAGTTGGTTCACACACAGCAGTGCACCATCTACAAGGTTTTATATGCATATTTTCTTATCTCAGAATTATAATAATTAAGAGAAAAAATGCAAGTTTAAAATCAGAGAAGTACAGATTCAGGCAACTTCTTGCAGAGTCTGGCTTTGTAAGTGCATGAGTGAGTGGATATGATTTAGAACAGATCAACAGCAAGTGAACATACAGAATAGTATACTTTACTTTTAATTTTGGCACTGAATGTCCTTAGTACATTTAAAAGCAAACCTACGCCCTTGGGAGTGACTATGACTAAGGTCTCGTTTAGTATGCACAGCCACGTGTGACACTCGCAATTCTGTCCAGTACATCAGCATTCCCCGATATAACTTAGGCCAACCACATTTTAAAATTTGGTTAAGGGCTGCTTATTGCGAAACATACATGACGCACAGAAACTGACTCAAGACCCCATTTATAAACAGTGCATTTTAGAAAGTGGAGCTACAGCTGGTTAATAGAAAGGAATGCGTTGGAGATTGTCTCATATTAATAATGACGGGAGCAGCTTCTGCTGACGCATCTTATGGCACAACACCAAAAATCCGCCTGCACAGGTCTGTTCAGAGCTATACACATATGCATAGCCCTGATTCAAATAGACCCTTCAGAAAAAATTGCCTCACGGCCAGACTAATGTTAGCTACAACTTCAAGCTAACGATAGCTGTTTAGCAAGCAAGCTACACTGCATGGCGCTGGCTAAAATAGTAAAGACAAGCAAGACTCGTAATGGAAGTGTAATTAATTTTCATACAGCGGCAGATATGAAGTTTTTGAGTTTATTTTACTTTAGTCTTTACTTACCCTAAATCTTCAAGAGAAACGAGAATGTCATTCTCCATCCCAATAATCTATGGTTATGTTCCGAAATCACGACACGTACAATGAATTAGAGTTATCAAGTCCGTTTCTGTTTCTTCTTCTGTTGCAGCTGCTTCTTCTTCTTCTACTACTACTTTTTAAGGCGGTTGACAACCAGCTTAGGTGCATTACCGCCACCTTTTAGACTAGAATGTGGATCAGAACGGCCCCTACCTACTACTACAACAAAATAACCCCACTCAGTTCACTTTATATTATTTTGTGTAACCCTGTACTCTCTTAAAACCTAATAAGTACGATATATAATATATCCTATATCCCCTGACCTTTGTCCCAACACTTCCGGTAAACCGAAGTTTATTCCACCTCTTAAAACTGTATTTTTGAATAATTTCCTCTCCCACCTGAACCTGGGACAACTCATTAGAACATGTTCCACAGTTTCTTGTACCCTACACATCTCACATTCTCCTGTAATATGCTTCTTTATTATCTTCAATGTACTTTTTAAGCCAGCATGTCCAAATCTCAATCTTGATACCATAGGTAAGACCAGAGGTGGCGTATTGTGCATTTATGTTAACAAAGCTTGGTGTATGAACTCTGTCATCGCTGAAAGACACAGCTCAGCTAACCTGGAATTTTGTATGGTTAACTGCAGATCTTTTTATCTGCCCAGGGAGATCAGTTCCACTATAATAATAGCAAACTATGTAGCTCCGGACGCTAATGCCAAGCTTGCTATGAACGAACTTCATGCAGCCATTAGCAAACAACAGACTGCACACCCAGAGGCTGCATTTATTGTTGCGGGTGATTTTAATCACTCCAACCTAAAGTCAGTGCTCCCTATATTCCACCAGCATGTTTCCTGCCACATTAGAGGTGTTAGGCATTTTTAGTCAGACAGATATTGGTCAGATACTTGTTGTATTAGGAATGTTTAGAGTAGACAGGATGCCTAGCTTAGGCTGTTAAATGCTTAGTCATTTTCATGAGTTACTGCAGGATGCTTATGGTCAAGGTTAACTAGATAGAAAAGTGGATGACTGTCAGCAGACAAAATGTTTAATATTATTATTATTATGTGCATAACTGTAGCCACAGCCATAATATTTTCTTTTGTTTAATGTTATGACATGTCACTAGAGGTCGTGTTAGAATGTTTTTAGTTACACACCATGTAATCAACTGAAGTCCGGTTCTTCTAGCCATGCTAACTCTAAGAGACGAGGCAGTCCAAGTAACTTCAATACAGTGCTGACTTATTCAATGAACACAGGTAAAAATTAACATTACATGCTCAGGTATCTTGCACCTCCAACATGCACGCAGGCAGCTGAAAGATGAAAGACCCTGAACCCAACAGGCCTATACATTTATCTCTTTGGGTTGGGCTAGCCCCATTCTACACAGGAACGTCAAACTGTGACGTCTCTGGTGCCAGCTTTGCAGCTGACCATAGCAGTAGTCAAAACATGAAGCAAATCAATGTGTGTGTGTCTGTTGATTAAGTGGTGCGTATCTAAAAACATTCTGACATGACATCTAGTGACATGTCATGACATTAAACATAAGAAAATATTATGATTACGATTACGGTTAAACACATAATAATAATAATAATAATAATAATCCTGTCTTCTAACAGTCATCAACTTTCTATCTAGTTATCCTTGACAATATGCACCCTGTAAAAACTCATGAGCATGACTAAGCATTTAACAGCCTAAGCTAGACATCCTGTCTACACTAAACATTTCTAATACAACAAGTACCTGACCAATATCTATCTGACTAAAAATACCTCTTCAGATCTGGTGATGCACAGGCCTACAGCTTATCCAGGGCCAACCTGAGGAGGGGCATCAAGCAGGCCAAGCACCACTACAAGCTAAAGGTTGAGGAACACTTCACAATCGCCCCGCACCTTCGGGACCCCCCCAGCCACTCACACTCACCTCCACTGACATGTATGCTGCACTGAGCTGGATCAACACATGCAAGGCTGCTGGCCCTGATGTCATTCCTGGACGCGTGCTCAGGGCATGTGCAGGACAGCTTGCTGGCGTCTTTACAGACATTTTTAACCTGTCCCTCACCCAAGCAGTTGTGCCGACATGCTTCAAAACCACCTCCATTGTGCCAGTGCCAAAACATTCCACCCCGACGTGTCTGAATGACTACCGCCCTGTAGCACTCACACCCATCATCATGAAGTACTTCGAGTGCCTGATCCTGGCACGCCTGATGTCCTGTCTCCCACCCACACTGGACCCCCACCAATTTGCCTACTGAAGGAATAGGAGCACAGAGGATGGAGTCTCCATAGCACTGCACTCTGTACTCAGACACCTGGACAACAACAACACTTATGCAAGAATGCTGCTCGTGGACTTCAGCTCAGCATTTAACACAGTCATCCCCTCCAAATTAACCACCAAACCTGGAAACCTGGGCTTCAGCAGCTCCCTTTGCAACTGGATTCTGGACTTTTTGACCAACAGGCCTCAGCATGTTAGGTCAGACACCTGCTCCTCCACCATTATCCTCAGCACCGGCATACCACAGGGCTGTGTGCTGAGCCCATTCCTCTACTCCCTTTATACCCACAACTGCAGGCCTGTGCATGGCTCCAATACTATCATCAAGTTTGCAGATGACACCACGGTGATTGGCCTCATCAGCAATAATGATGAGTCAGCCTACAGGGAGGGAGTACAGTACCTGGTTGTGTGGTCTGCTGACAATAACCTGCTCCTTAACACCGACAAGACCAAGGAGCTCATTGTGGACTACAAGAGGGAGAAAGGAGGCACACACGACCCCATCCATATTAACGGGATAGTTGTTGAACATGCCTCCAGCTTTAAATTCCTGGGGACCCACATTTCAGAGGATCTGTCCTGGACCACCAACACCCACAGCCTGGTTAAGAAGGCTCACCACCACCTCTTCTTCCTGAGGACACTGAAAAAGAACCACCTGTCTTTAGCCATCCTGGTGAACAGCTATTGTTGTGCTTTTGAGAGCATCCTGACCAGCTGTATTACAGTCTGGTATGGAAACTGCTCTGGCTCCAACCATAAGGCGCTGCAGCAGGTGGTGAAAACTGCCCAATGCATTACAGGGACTCCACTTCCAGCCATTAAGGGTGTCCACAGGGAACGCTGTCTCCGATGTGCTCGCAGCATTCTCTTGGACTCCTCTCACCCTGCTCACAAACTTTTTGACCTCCTGCCCTCTTGGAGGCGCTTCAGGAGCCTCCGGACCAAAACCAGTAGACTCAGGAACAGCTTCTTCCACACAGCTGTCTCCTTACAGAACTCTGTCCCCCGTTGACACCCCACTGCCTTCCTCTATACCACTACACACACCTCACCCCTTCTCATCTCTCCTCCCGGGACTAATGCAATACACTTGTTTCCTGTAACACTGTAGTGATCTGTTAATTTGAACATGCTCTACTCACAGAATACCACTCTATATTCATTTGCACACTGTTCATATGCTGATACTGTATATTTATCTTTATCTTTGCACTATTTACATCCATTGAACTGTTCACTCATGTAACTTATTGTTGTCTTGTTATTCTGCACTGTTTCATTCCGTTTCATCCATTGCACTAGTGTTTTATAAGCTTAATGTACCTTGTCCATTACTTGTAATTTAAATCTGTAGTCTGTTGTACTGTACATTGTATATTACCCTACATATATTACTATAGATATCAACTGTACATATCCATCGGTAAATTAGTTCTGACTGTAGATACTGCGCACTGCGCACTGCGGTTATTGCACTTCTGGTTAGATGCTAAACTGCATTTCATTGCCTTGTACTTGTACATGGGTAATGGCTATAAAGTTTAATCTAATCTAATCTAATCTCTTCTTCCTTCCTATTTGCAGTACATCCTCTCATTTATTTTACTTTCCTTTGAGTATTATAATAAAACCGACCCTTGCTATCTTTATCCCACAGTTCTTGCCATTTCACTTTCAGTTTCCCTTTAATTAAACTCGTAACCTCAGCCTTACTATAACTTACTTCTGTCATGATCCTGCCCCGTCCACTCCCGGGGTCCTGCTTTTATTTTGATACCACTTCCTGTCACCAGCTCATCCTAAACCCCAGTAACGTCCTCTCACCATGTGCATTGGTTTCACCTGCCGCTAATCACCCACACCTGGAGCTGCCAGATTGTTCTATGCCTTGTCTAGACTCTCCAGTGTTTTCCTCTGACTGCTTTCCTGGTACCGAACCCTTGCCTGCTCTAACGACCTATGGCCCAGCCTGTTCTCTCTTGTCTGACTGCCAACCTGAGATCGACACCCTGCCTGTTCAACTAACCTGTGATTCTGCCTTGCCTTCCCTGCTGCCCTGCCGGAGACTTCGACCTTGGACCATATTACGTACCACTAGTGTTGCTTTCGTCAACGAAAATTATGACTAAATATCGTCGTTAACGAACCTTTATCGCGTGACAAAAACGAGACAAGACACAACGAAAAGTGATGATGACTATAATTAAATATATAATGCAATATTGTTGATGATAAAAAACGAGACGAAATGTTATAACGTTATTTTGTCTCGTTAAGTCGTGTTATTATTATTATTTTGCAGTATTTCTGTTTCCTGTGTCTCGCTTCAGGGGCCGCATCAGACGCGTTCGCACTGCGCAGACGCAGGCAACATCACTTCCTTAACCACCACTCGCGGAATTATTGAGAAGACGAAAACAAACAAAGTTAAGTCTGACACAGAGAAAGGGATCGATGGCTTTGTCATTGGGAGAAAATGAAGAAACGAAATTTGGAAAAGCTTTAATTACATAGAAGTGGAAAAAAAACGGAATTTGTTGTGGAAAAAGATATGGAGAAATGTGGCCACAAAATCACACAAAATGTGTATTGGATGTAATCCTGAGTCTATAAGGTAACAATAATATAACCTTGTTTGAAATGGGTTTGGCTAAAAAAACGTTTGGTTTCATCTATACTACTAGGTACTTATACTCTATAGACTGGGTTAAATAGAATTGCATTACTAAAAAGAGACAAATACAATTTTCATTGACTAAAACTAGACTAAAATGTCATCAGTTTTTGTCGACTAAAACTAGACTAG